GGGGGGGTTAGGTGGGGAGAGGTGGGGCGTGGGAGCAGATCAGGGTGTGCGTTGACTGCCAGGGCGACCCCTCAACCCATGCAGTCTCGTGCGTGAGCCGCTGAGCCGCCAGCCTGAAGAGGAGCCGCACGTATGTGACGGCATGGGGACCCGCAGTGACTCTGCCACGCGGGGGCGCGCGCGCGTGCACACACACACACACACACACACACACACACACTCTCTCTCTCTCTCTCTCTCTCCCAGACACACACACCCAACCACACACTCCCAGAAACATCACACGCACGCACCTGGGGACGTCGCCGCGCAGTATGTTGAGCAGCACCGTCTCCGCCACGTCATCGGCGTTGTGGCCGGTGGCGATCTTGTCGGCCTTCATCAGCGCAGCGCCACGGTCCAGCGCCTGGCGCCTGCGGGTGTTTGAGTTGCGTGCATGTGTGTGATTCATTGTAGTGCATTGAGTGCCTTGATTATTGACGATACGAATACTTCTCCACGCATATGGCCACGCGAAGCAAATGAATGCATGTGCGTTTGTGAGTGTAAATGCATGGTGGAGGCGCAACGAACGCTGGTGGGGGCGCCCTGGCGTGTTGGCGCCGCTCAGCCGCAGTCGCTGCCAGCAGCTGAGGGGGGCCAAGGCGCGGGGCGCGAGCAGGGCGGCGCGCGGATTGCCCTTGGTAGTACACACACAGAAACAAACACATGCATACCCGCACCCCCCCCACACACACACACACAAACGCACACTCTTTCACACAAAATAGCACACAAACACACAATTCAAGACACACACCCACGCTATTACCGCCTCACACACCTGAACACTCCGCAGAAGGTGCAGTTGTTCTTGGTGCCGATCTGGCGGACGATGGCGTCCATGGACCAGCCGTACAGCTCCTCATAGGACAGAACCTTGAGGGGGATGCCTGGCGGCGGTGGCAGGGCAGTCCAGAGACACGCACGGCAGTCCAGGAGAGGGGTGATGGGACAGTCCGCGGCCTGGACGAGACTTCGCCGCCCCGCCCGAGGCGCCGAAAAACACTGGGCGGAAGCTCTTTAGCTCGCGCCACACCGGTGAGAGGTGCGCGCAGCCGCCTGCCTGCCCGGCACCCCTGCAAACGTGCGAGCGTGCAAGCATGCACGTGCGTGTGCGCCCACCGTAGGTGGCCTCGTTGCGCTTGACAGTCTCCAGGCTGTCGTCGCGGTAGCCCGAGATGCCCTCATCAATGGATAGCAGGAACAGGTCCAGGCCGTAGCTGCCGGTGGGAGGTTACAGAGGGGGCGGGCGCGGGAAGGGAGGCGGGGGTGTGGTCGACGTCGGTTGAGCATGGGGACAGGAAGGGGGCACGGTTCCTGTGGCCGGATGGGGGCAGCTCTCTGCTGGGGAAGTGAGTTCTGGAATCATTTTGTAAGGCCCTTTTTGTCGCAGGGTTTAGTCAACCTTTGTGTCCGGGTCAACTGGGGCTGGGGATGTCATGCAAAGGGCTCGCTGTCAAGGCTGTGCCAGGTTGACAGCGGCCCAGGTTGCACTGAGTCCCGCTCCCCGCCCTTTCCCCGCCCGTTCGCAAAGGGGCCCAGCCACAACACTCGTCCCTGCTTTTTGACCGTGCATGTGTGCATCCGCTACAATTGATAAGCACAGCTTTGATATCATTTCCGACATCCACGCGCACGCGTGGGTTGTCACTTTGCCCCCTGCCTCTTTGCCACACGCCCAGGCTGCGCGGCCGCCGTCCGCCAGGCTCACTCGTGTCGCGCGTTGAGCAGCGTCAGCATGTGCGCCAGCACGGTCGAGTCCTTCCCGCCAGACGCGGCCACCGCGACGCGCTCGCCGCGCGTGAAGAGGCGGCTGGACACGATGGTGCGGTGCACCTCATCCTCTAGCGCCTGGTAGAAGCAGCTTCTGCACAGCTGCGCGCGCGGCGGCGTTTCGCATCGGACGGCACGGTGTCGCAGCCAAGCTGACGGGGGTGTCGGGCGGTGCGGTGGCGGCCAGAGGCGCGGTCGCGGCTGCACGGAGCTGTGGGGGCCGCAGGCACGTGCGTGACAAGTACGACGCGTTTTCGCGGCCCCATGCGGGCGTTGCATGAGGGGCCGCAGCAGCGCGGCGGCAGCAGCGTCGTGCCTGCTCAAACGTCTTGGGCCGACGCAGCGCCGCGCGCTCCTTGTTGCAAGTACTACATAGCTTCACCATGCTTTCAAAAACCGCCGCTCCTTAGCGGACACGCGACAAAACAAGAGCGGATCAGATCGTTCAGAGTTGAAGTGTCGCAAAAGAATATGAAATCTTGTTCAAGGTTGTAATGAGACGCCAACCGCGGCACTGCGTGCAGCATGGTTCGGGATTTGGTAACGTGGCCGCGCACGCAGCGCCGTCGACTTCCAGCTGCACATGATATGTTGGTGTAGAGGCCATGGTGATGGAAGATGCACCGTCAATCATCATCTGCATCGAAAATCTTATGGCGCGACATCTGCACTGAATGCCTATGCATCCACCACCTGGCAGCTCAAGCTGTTTATCAGTATGACCCAGTTCGCTCAGGTGGCGCTGTCGATGCGCTGCCCGCATGCCATTCGTACACTGCCCGTGTTGTGCACAAGCTCAATTCAATGGCAATTCAAGGCGGCAGTGCACATGTGCAGAGCCCTCTCTACCGTCTCAGGATGGTGACTGCCCGGAAAGCGTCCAGGGGCTCCCTGCCCGCGTTGGGAGTATCTGCAAGTGGGCCCGCTGACGCACCAGGATTGCGCCTAGATTGCATTGTGACCTAGAGAGCGTGTGTGAAAATATTTAGGGAGGGCGCAGGACAGCTAGGTCTATCGCAGACCAGATTGCAGACCGTGATATTGGACCTACCTCGGCGCAGTTCAACAGCACAATGTTGGCTGTATGTATGCCAGGATATGTCCAGTTGGTGACTTTGTCTTTGATTTCAACTTCTCTGCACGTCCAGCTGGCATGCTCAAGGCTCACGAGGCCACAGGAGCCGACAGGCGTCGATCGTGCGAGCCACCGCGCGCGCGCCCCCATCTGGCCTGCAGCTCCAGCGCGTGCACGTCCGTCTGCCACAGCCAGACGAGTTCCTACATAAGCCAACAAACATGGGATAAGAATATCAACAAAGTGACATTCAACTCACTGCTGCAGTAGTAATCGCGAAGCACGTCGACTCACCAGGCCTGTGGCCTACACGCAAAAGCAAGGGCACCTATGATGATGGATTCAAAGCAGAGTATACAAATTTGCACATCATTGCCCTCCCGTACTCCAAGCTCAGTTCCCAGCACCAGCACGACCACCTTCAAGATCGGCACTGTCGCCAGGGCCGGCATCCTTTCTCCTGCGAACGCAACAATAAATGGCCTCCTGACAATCACCACGGCTCGGGTGAAGCAGGCCTTCGGCCACACTGGGGTCATCCCCGTCTTCCCCTTGCGCAGATGCCTGCCACCAGCGCCGAGGATGGCCTCTAGGGAGACCTTGAGCCCGGAGGTCGTGCAGGTCTCGCTTGGGGCCTTGGAGCGGCTGCAGGTGCGCCAAGCGCCACATCATGCGCGCACATGCGGGGCACCTGCTGGGCCGGGAAGTGGCGCGCAACTGCAGCGCTCGTGCGCTCTCAGCGCGCCGCCGACTCCTGCAGCATCCTACGTCCTTGTGCAATCTACAAGCAGCGCAGTTTCTGCCCCATATCACATCACTTGCACCCAGACACGAGCACAACGAAGCAGTCAACAACCAACAATGCACAAGACGCACCAACCATCACATGCATGGCCCCCATGCGCCGCAGGCATGCGGCGCGTTCCTGGAGCGGGAGCAGCACCCCATCCGCGCCGTCAGGGACTGGTTGGCGACACGCGTGCTGCCGGCGCTGCTCGCCGCCCGCTCCCCAGCAAGGGGCTCGCCTGACGGCGCCACCGGCAATGGCGGCAGCGGCGGCGGCAGCGGCGGCGGCGGCGGGCAGCAGCGGCCGCGGCAGGTGGGGAGGGCCAGTGCCTCGATCGCGCTTGGGGGAGCTGCGCAGGCAGCGCCATGCGCAGGGGTTGTGGCAGCAATCTTGCATGGGGACAGATTGCGTGCTGTTTTGGGTTCCCCACAATGGTTCATTTTTGAGGTGGAAGCGATGCATCATCATATAGCAATGCCTAATGACATCCCAACTGCGCTGCAGGACGACGAGGATCAGACTCAGGCGGAGTGGCTGCGGGAGGAGGAGCAGCAGCGGCAGATTCGGCAGCAGCAGGGCTGGCGGCGGCGCGGCTCGCTGAGCCTGGCGCCCTCGGAGTCGCTGCCCTCGTCGCCGTCGCAGCAGCAGCAGCAGCAGCAGCAGCAGCAGCAGCAGCAGCAGCAGCAGCAGCAGCAGCTATGGCCGCAGGAGGCGGAGGGCGAGGGGGACGACGGGGAGGAGCGGCCGCAGGACCCCCGGTTGGTGGAGCTTTTTGAGCTGGTGAGCTCGCACCCCGCTTGTTTTGATCGTCGACGCGTCAGCTGCTTTTGCTGCCGCGCACCTGCCGGCCGTGCGGCCTCATCGGCCCCCATGTCTGCAGATGCTGGGCTCTCGCACTGCGATCGATCTTGTTGTTGGTTCGTGTGACATCGCGTGCAACGAGCTTGGTTGTGCAGGTGCATGCAAGTGCACGTGCTCGCGCGCGTACACACACACACACACATACACACACACACACACAAACACGCACGCACGCACGCAAACACAACCACATCAAACATATATGCACACACTTGCACATGCACTCCCCCGCAGCACCTGGGCTCCTGGGATCGCTTTGACGTGTTTGAGGTGGCGCGGCTGTCTGGCGGCCAACCCCTGGAGGCGGTGTCCCTCGCGGCGCTGGAGCGGCTGGGGCTGATGGACGGGCTGAGCATCCCGCGCGACAAGATGCGGCGATACGTGCGGGTGGGCGGAGCTTGTTGTTTGGGGGGGGGGGGCGCTGACTGCTGCTACCCTTTCTGCTTGCGCTGCCGCGTCGGG